TTTAAGTCAATTAATTATAAATTATGGTACCAATAAAAAATGTTAGTTTTTGAACATCTTATACATAACTATATAAATTACGAGTTTTATTTCTATATTGGTTTTGAATGTGGACAGTGGTTCATGACAAATTCGAAATCAGCTTTAAAATAAGAAATAATAACCTAACACACAACAACAAAAAAGATTATATCTGCGGTTTACATTATAAATCTTATTTAGTAAAATTGGAGTTTAATTTCCAAGAGAATTTTGATATCAAAAAAATGTTTGTTAATCACTTCAAACACACCTCTACTATTTATATTTATATTTTTTATTTTTATGTCTAAAATTTAGCTTCTTGCTACGAAGAATTCTAAAAATTAGATTTAAATGATTTTAAGTAATGATACTTAGTGAAAATAATTAAATATAATCATACAATCCTGCATTTTATTTTTATTTTGAGTTATTTATTAGCTCTCTTAATTTAACGATTGTTATTGTAAAATTAATTTAAATATTTAAAAAATTGTTTTATTTTTCACCCATCAAGTCTAAAAACATCTAATTTCAAATCTCATGGTGAATGATCTCACCGATGTCTTAACATTTATTGGTGATGATAACAATATTGTCCATAAGCTGTAAGTAAAATAATTTATTTCACTACTCCCATTGCGTAACCTTATAATAGCAACAAACATCATTACGAAGTTCGATCCGCACTTAAACGAAAAACGTGACTAGAACCATATCTCTATTTGCACTTGTTCGTGTAATATTCTACTTAACATCATTTTCGTTTCATAACGTAACTGTTATTACACCCAATTGATCTTCAAAAATATTATTGTATTCAAGACATTTACAATGGCCATAATAGCAACCGAGTATGTGTAAAATTATGATCAATACTTTTAAATTCATAAATGCGAGTTCAAAATATTGCCTCCAGTGTAAAAAAAAATATATATTGTACTGTCAATGGATGTATATATTTTATAATGTATTTTTATATTGAAGTATGATCTTAAAAAAAGTTATTTAAAATAGTAGAAGTTGGTTCAAACAACAAATGATCAAATTGATTCCAAAGATAACTAAAAATTTAGTTATTGAATCTCTCGTATAACACGAAATTACTTCCCTATTTTTAAATTGTTTATAAACTTATGTAAATATAATTCAATAAATGTTCATTTTATGTAAAAATATAAATACTTTGGTACATTTTTAATTTTATTCGAAATGCGTTTATAAAAACAAGTTTTTGAAAAATAATTTCTGTAGCTATTTTTCTAAAGCTAATTACCATAAAGCTAAAATTACTTTCAGTAATTTTTCAGCACAACAAAAACTTTTCAATGGTGCCTTATGAAAACTGTTATTTTTGAAATGAAAAACAAGCCATACTAATAAATTTATTCAACATTTTTTGACAAAGAATATTCTATTATATAAAATGTGTTAAAAATCTTAAAAATCTATTTATGTGATGTATTAACTTTTGAATTTGAGTCACAGTCTTGTAATTAAACCAGAAACCAAATGTAATTTAATTGAAAAAGTTCACGGATATAATTAAAAAGATATCATAACTCTTAAATGTAGTGTAATTTTTTCCGTGATTAGTTTTCAAACAATATAAAATTATAACCATGTGACATTTTTATGTATCCTATCTAAATTTTTATTTTATAATGATTTTCATTATATTAATTTAATATTGTTCTTGTTATATATCTGTTTGAATTTAAGATAAATATTTTTAACATAAAAATAAAAATATCTTTTACATTTATTGAGTAAATCACTAAATAATCGCAAGAAAAAATTTACTAAATTGTTTGTCTACTTTCACCAGAATATAAATGTTTTTACTGATAATATTGATTTACATATAACCAAAACCAACTCGATTTCACTTGAATTATAATTCAAAGTTTTTTATGGTTAACTTCAAAATGCTTTTGAGAGGTAAATAATTTAATTTTCTACTATAGCTTTGCAGAATAATGTCAAAGTTTTAGTAAAACTAATTAATTGCTCATATAGATGGGTAGTTATTAAAAGGCTAATCAGGATCAACAAACTTTTTAAACCGTTATTTAAAAAGTATTCAATGAAAACGAAAAAGAGATGACATGACTACTCGCGATAAAATAAATGATTATCAAATTAAAGTGATCAAAATACATCTATAGAAATTAAACATTAATTTAAAACTTTTTTTATTTTACCATATTTATTGTTAAGAGAAATATTTAATAAAACTTTACCACCATTTATCCTTTCAACATGTGCTTAACAACATTTATAGAAATATATAAAGATTATAAATGCTAAAATAATTATTAAAACTGATATTTTGAGATTTTGATTTTTAAATTTTAGCAATGTATTTAAATGGGATAATTGTTCTGTCCAAATTCAATATTTATTATTTACTAGAAGTATACGTGTGTTTTAAGTCAAATGCATGACAAGTTTGTTACAACGCAGCATGTCATTAAAACAACACTTTTTTAATTTTAAATTCTTTTGGTTATACGGCTACAACCTTAAGATATTTTTTTTTCAATTCGACGATAAAATATACATAAAAGTAAGATTTTCATAGAGCTGTGTGATAAATTAAATAATCAATACAAGTTAATAAATATTTATGTAATCAATAATACATCATTAAAACATTATTAGCTCGTAAAACTATGCGATTAACTGATATAAAAAACATTCTTCAATTTTAAAATCTTTAAGGCAATAACTCGATAGAGTAAATAACTGAACTCGAAAGTACAAAATTTCAACAAAACATATATAGATGTACTAGCTTATTTAGATGATTACTTAAAAATTATAAATGTAATTTTTATTTCATGTTAAGAGTCTTAATTATAGTCAGGAATTTGTAGCATTAGAATATTTTTTTTAATTCTCTAGGGCAATGCTCATTAAGTATAAATTTCGATTCATACATCATTGAATTAAAATATACATTTATAGCGCACTTTTTTTGCATGCTTTATAATTTTTTATTAAGAAATGAACTTTTTCTAATTTTGGATCATGTTAATATCATTGTATTCATATTTTTGTATTAAAATTCATTTTTGAAACTTTTTGCGTACATATTTTCAGCGTTCAAACTTAAGTAAAGAATTTTCATTTAAATTTTCGAATGAATTATTCAATATTTACTTTACACATTTTCATTTATAAGCATCTTCCTAGCTATATTAAAAAAAATTAAAGTTTTCTCTTCATAAGTAAAGTGTGTTTCAAGTTATAATAGTTTGGTTACATTCCTTCTAGTAAAACAAAATTGGAAAAATATTCATGGATCTTCTAAAACTGATTTTAAGATTTGTTTAGAATGATTGCTCAATAGGTATGTCATGATAACAACTGCATTTAAACGTCCGTTATGCTATACATAAAAACGACACAGATAAAATTTTTAAAAAATATCGACTGTTAATAATATTACTATAAGATTAATATTATGTTATAGTAACATAAAATAATTACTATATTAATATTACTTTTAAAAAAATGCTATCAGGGAAGTTTAATATTTGTTAACTTATTTTTTCTCGTAGACACAAATTTCATTTATATTTTATTGTATTATGAATATCATTTAATTTTATTTGTTTTCTAAAGGTTAAAATTTTTAAACTTTTGAAAATGGATAAGTTAGTATTTCATTTTTCCAGTTCTTATAAATTATGTTAAGATGAATTTGAAATTTTGAATTTATTTTTTATAAAATTTTTAAGTTTTAAAGAAATTTTTTTATGTGTAGATTTTAGTTTTTATGTTTACCGTCAAATAATATTATTAAATAATTTTTCTCAGAATTACCATCAATGCATACTACCAATAAACTTAAAGTTGACTAGTGATAACTAAGTTCATATTGAGCATATTTTATACCTTACATTACATTGCTTAGTAATAAACGAAATAAAAAACATCAAAAATATTTTAATTTTTTTTGGCATTATTAATAATATAATGAAGAAAATTTTATTAACATAAATATATCACTGTTATTTTTTATGATTTATCAATTGTTAAAATTAATTAACTGTTTAGATTAATTTTTATTTTATTAAATAGTTGAATTTGTAATTAAAAATTGCAAATGTTTTCAAGTACAAATAGTTTTTAATTTGAGTGTTGAAATATTTTTAACGTTATTATATTTCAAGTTAAGTTCTTTCTGTAATAAAACTTATATTATTTTTTATTTGTCTTTATTAGCACAGTAAAATTAACTTGGCTTCTTAATAATTAAGGTTGCTAAACAAAAACTATTAAAATTGGTTAACCATTATAATCATAGTGTATTGAAATAAATGTAAATTATTTATATTTTAACTACACATATAATTAATTTAATTGAGCTAACTATCTATCGAGTTACTCAAACTGTATTTTATTCTATAATAATAAAAAAAAGTTTGTGTGGCTTCAAATAAAACACATTACTTCAAAAATATGTTTAACTAACGAAAGTTCAACAAAAATTTACTACTTAAAACTTTAGTTCCATTTGTATTCATAAATGTTATTTTTAATTGTCTGACATTATGTGATTAACACATTTTATTCTAAACGCTGAGAAATATATATTATAAAATTGAATAAAAAGATTATTTTACATGGTCAATATTAATAGTCGCCAAGAAAATCATATTTAACAACTTATTTATTAAGATATTCAGTTTCAATATATTATTTGAAAAAAATTAAGATTATTTGTGATTAAATTGAAATATGACAATGGACAGTCTATTCAATTTTATAACTTTACATTTATTAGCTAAATTATGAAATAAAAGTACAATTATATTAATTATGTCATTTGAATTACCAGTAATTTAAATTAAATATAACGAATGTTTATATATTATATTATTTTATTGTACTAATAATAAATTAAAATAACTGAGCAAAAACTAAAAACTATTATTGAAGAGAGAAAAGAAAAAAAATGTTTTTCTTACAGTGCAGTTTTTCATCCAAATTTCCTCTAGACGTTACTGATAATGCTTTGATGAATTCTTCAAACTCTATTGAGCCATCCTGAAAAAAAAATCTTTAATTAAAACTTTTGTTTTATTTGACTTAAGAAAAATTACTTAATAATTTTGAAAAAGAAATTCAATTAAGTAAATTTTAATATTAATATGAAGAGATTTGATTATGTAATATGTCTTTATTTATTTCGGCGTCTTATTGCCTATATTTTTTAAGTGAATAGGAAAATTACTTGTAAAAAAACATCTCAAGGTATTTATGATGAAAATAGAATTCATTGGACTGTTCATAAACATACATTTCATTAAAATTATCTTATAATGTAATACAATTGTATAACAACAGGTGCCTGAGTTAAGTTGAAAAAAAAAACTCTCTAAAAGATGATTTTTTTTACTATAAATAAAATTGTGTCTAACTTGAAACTTCTTTAAAGCTGTAATATAAATTGTCCCCAAGTTATATCTCTGGAGTAGTACTCTTTTTATTCTTAAATTATTTTGCAATGGTAACTTTTTTCAGTATCTTGTTTTTTAAATAATTTTTGGTCTTAAATTATAATGTAAAAACATTAACTGTAATATATAATAGGTCTATTTTTCTCTAGAGAAAAAGAAAAAAATAATACTTTTAACACAAAATATGTACAGAAAATAAAATAAGTTATATTACTCAGAAACACAATAATTTCATTATGAAATTGATGTCAGTTTATGTTTACTGCAATGCCATTAAGACTAAGGTAGTATAGAACATACAGATAATAATAATAATCTATATATTCTATAAACTGTTGTTCAAATTTAAATACTCAATGAAAATCATGAATAAATTATTTATAATTATCTGAATATTATATATCATAACACAATGTTTACTTTAAAAAACTTGACCAGCAGTTCAATGTCATCACTTTATATATGATGTGAACACATGTGTGTCATAATAATGAACCGCTATTATAGTAATATCTAAAACGTGATTTGATATGTCTGTAATTTTTGTTGATTAATCACACAAAAATAAAACATTTTTTTTTTTTTATAAAAATTAACTAATGTATTATTTTTAATTGTTAAAAATATTGAACCATAACTTTTTACTACACATGTATTAATTTCGTATATTATCATAGATCTTTTAATGACAGATCATTTCAACATATTTAACGTTGACATTATTGTTAAATCTTATGTAGAGGTTCAGTAAGTAAGGAAACGAGTTTCTATTGTTCTCATTGTTTGTTACAATTTACCAGATTTCTTACTTCCTGAACACTTTTTTTAGCTACGTAAACTATAAAAAAAACAAATTAAGTAAAAATAGTGAGATTAGAATTCTATGAAGTAATGAACTGAAATAAAATCATAAATAAAAGCGTTTTCTTATTGATAGGATAAGATTTTAGTTAGTATTCTGAAAGTTTTAACAATTAATTAAAAAATTAAAAACTGTTTAACCAGGTTTTTTTACACGAAAATACAAAATAATGACAAAATTTATTAAATTTAGTAATTAGAAATTCAATATCATAATAGTTAATTATAATGAGTAAAAAAAGATCTAACCATTTAGAAATACAATTTGTTTCTCAAAAAATAATATTTTTTAGTAAATAAGGCAATTAAAAAGTAGTACAAATTATGTAAGTTTAATTGAGTAATATATAAACTTATTTAATTTAAAATAAGTATAAAATGTATTCTTTTAGAAAAACAAGTTGGACTTTTACCCCAAGTCAACATTAAAAAAATTTAAATTACACGCTATAATGTACTTATTAATTAAAATAAATTAAATTATTATTTAGCTAATAAATTTAGCTATGAATTTATAGTTATTCACTAACAAGAAATTTTTAATTAATAAATTTACTAGAAAATAAATAATATAAATTGTAAACAAATCAAAATATGTAAGATCGTTAAATTTACTAAATATTTTTGTGGTACACGTGACTGACAAACAAGAATTAATCGTGAGCTAAAAACGTGACATTATATCACTAGACGAGTTTTTCAATGTGAATTTTATAATCTGATTAACAGATTACAGTATGTGGATTATAATTACATCATAATTTTGTGTATAATCATTAATTTTTTGTAAATATTAATTGGAGAGGTTTTGGTAATGTTTTTTATTTTACATTTAAGGCTTTGTAAGTAAGGAAGAACGTGTTAACTTCGAGAAACTTTGATTGTTAAGCCTTTACTGTTCCACAATGAGAAACACGTAAAATATAGGTAAACTCTAACGCGGGTCCCAAAAATAATTTCATAAAGTAACAACAGTGTTTTGTATGTATGCTCCGTTTCTGGTGTTATTTTTAGTCAACAACGGCTATATATTACATTCTTCGCTGCAAAAGTGAATTATACTAAAAATCTATGGCGACAACGGCGTAGCGGACTTTCTTCAGCCGTCGCCATGGTACTCTCATCAATTGACTTTTAAATATCGACAACAACATGACACAAACATCACCACATCGCTGTTTACTTCCATATCCTGTTTATATAAAAGGTTACTTTTATAACCAGATTATATTAATTTGTTAATTTAAAAATGTGCGCCATTTACAAAAAATAGACTGAGCTACTATCAAAAATATGTGTACAACGCTAAAAATAATTTAACAGAAAATTTACAAGTTTAATCAGACAATTTTAGGTTCCTACGAAAATTGTAGACAGTAAATATTTATTAATACTTGTTTTTAAATACTTGAAATTTATTGACGTAATCAGTGTTCTATAAGTTCAGTGAACTTTTAATAACATTTCTAAAATCAATAAATTTTCAGTGTTATTTATTGATATATTCATTTTGTATGTTTAAAATTTAACCACGTGATACAAAGCCTAAAAATTAATCCCATATACATATTAAGTGTGTATTATATGACATGGATAAAATTGCAAACCTGTAGAACTTTCAATAGTATTCAATATGCGAATATATTATTATCGGTATTCATTGTGTATCTCATTACAAGCGTTAATTTAAAAATAAAAATGTATTAAAAAAATTTGATTGATGATTTATTTATATAACTTACGCCAACACTCATAATAAAGTAATTCGTTTTCCCGTTAAGCATTAAAAATCAATGGCAAGCAATAGTGATTACATGCTACAAAATAACATCACAATACAAAACTAACTTATAATTTATAATTTTTCAAGTCATTATATGTCTATTTAGTTTAGTCAATTAGTTGAAAAATAACAACAAACTTACTTTTTCAGATGAATTAAATAAATATAGAATGCTAATACTCGAATAATCATTGTATAAAATTTCATGTTTACAATTAAATATTTAATATACATTTTTACTGCAAATAAAATTGTTTAAAGAAATTAAATTATATGAACTTACATGGCACTTTATAAAATCTGTACGAACTCCTTATTTTAGTCATAAAAAACGTTATGGAAGCCGAGGTAACATCACTCCAGCTTCCGGAGAATAAATTTTAGATTTTATTTGTGTCTTCAATTAAGTTCTATTTGTATAAACTTGTACTACGAAATTAACTTAAAAATAAAATACTTGTCTCACGGTTAGGTTGATTAATGTTAGATAAAATAGATTTAAAGAATAATAAAATTGAGTAAACTTATTATTTATGAAATTAATCCTAATTGATTTAATTATAAAATTACAAATATAATTATGAGTATTAGGGTGGTCTTTATTTGACCAACTTTTAGAACTCGATAGGAGTACTCCGCACTTTGTTTTATGTGAAAATTAGAAGTGTTGTAAATTTTGAGTGTTTTAGGTCAACCCCTTTGAGGCATATGAAAGGATATATTATATTATGTTTTTAGTAAGATGGTGTTTTTCTACAAAATTATAATGATACACATTGATTCAAGTTTCTTTTTTTTACACTATCATTCTCCACCAAAATAAAATCTTTAACTGTTTCATCATTTATTTGTGTCATCGTTAACTGATATTGTTTTATTTTCTTTAAGTGTTATGATTATATTTATTATGTTTTATCTCTATTAAGTTACTTTAAAATAATTATTGGAAAGAAAATGATGGTCTTTTATGAAACTGTTATAGTGGTTTTATTACAATTTAAAGAAAAAGTAATAGTATAAAATGCAGGAGCTAAAAGTAAGTTCTTAATGAAAATATAATTATAATTTTACTATCGCTTTATAAAATTAAAAAGGTTCTATTCCAGTTTTGTTTTTAAAGTAATAATTAATTAAGTACGCATTCGTATGATTCTATATTATTCCCTATTTCTCTTATTAATAAGTTTAAAATGTTAATATTTGTTTTCTTTTAGTCAAAATGTCATATTAAAGATATAACTTAATAAACATTTTTAAAATAAAGCTATGGTTAATTTTATTATACTGTAGTGAAATTAAAACTAGCATGTCAAGCTTGTTTTAATCATTCATTTTATACCTACTAAATGTAAGTGAGATAAATTCAGTCGGAAAATTTTGCTTTTAAATTACTCTTGTTGGATACAAGATTTAATCTTTTTGCAAGCGGTTTAAGTTTAATTTCATAATTTGAAATACAAATGATGTTATGTGATTAACATAAAATGTTATGCATTAAAATATATTACGACGTTAAAAAACATGACTAGAACGTTACTGAATTATTGAGTTGTTAAAATAGATTCTATGTGGCTTTTAAATATTTATTTAAAACTTCTTGGATGGTTTAGGGTAACTCATCTGGTTATCGGGCAATTAAAAATTTATTGATCTTTAAAATTGTAAAACAAATTTATTATGACAAATTATAAACAGATCTAAGATCTGAATATAAATTACAGTATATATTATGTACACTGTGAAGATTTATTTTATTTCATATAATAAACTTATAAATTAATAAAAATGTTCTTTATACTTATATGTTTCACTGTTAAAAAATGCTAACAAAAATAAAGTATTTAAAATGTAAATTTCCTATTTAAAATGTAACCAACCTAATGATATCATCTGTGTTATCGGTAAAATAAAATAAAGTAAAAAGAGTTTTATATATTCATAAT